TTTATAAAAAAAAATCAAAGTTATAATTCAATCCACCCAAACCATTGTTTAAATCACTCCAGACTTTCATATCACTCAACTGGTCATTCTTCTTTTGATAAAATTTTTTAAATTATTTAAAAAATATTGGGTTAAAATACAAATTAATTAAAGAAAACCATTTTAAAGGGCTTCTCAAATGCAAGTGTGGATGGCCTCCAGGTAGGGCAGCTACAAAGGCCCACCTGAAGAGATACAAAGGGCCATTCTACCAGAAATAGATCTTTTTTTTTTTTTTTTTGGCAGAACCGGGGATTGAACTCAGGCCCTTGCGCTTGCCAGGGAAGTGCTTATTCCACTGAGCCATCTCCCCGGCCCCACCAGGAATAGATCTTAACACCTATACTTACAACTTACTACTGTTATGGACTATTAGACTATTTAGGGTCAAACTGCTAAATATAAATAGCAAAAATCGTTTTTTTTTTTTTTTGTTCCTCGCATGCCTTCAGGGCACGTTTGGCCAGCGGGAGAGTTCTGAGGTTCGAACTCCAGCCACCTGAGGCTGACAGCTTTGTGGAAGCAGCCACTTAAAGGACTGAGCTAGGCCCAGGCCCCCTAAAAATCTTTTTTTTTTTTTTAATTCCACTATTTATTTATTTTATTTACATTTATTTATTTTGTGTGTGTGTGGCCAGCTCAGCCCACCAGGGGGCGGGGCTGGCTGGCATGTGGTGTTGGGGATTGAACCGCGGTCCCAGTGGTTTGCTAAGCTTGTTCTAAGTAGGTGCCTTAGACCACTGAGCCATCTCACCAGCCCAGCAAAAATCTTTAGACTGTCATCAAAAATAAAAAGATCTTCTACAGTATTCTCCAAACACAGCTTCTCCAACTACAACAAAACACCCATCACTCACACAACAAAACAAAAAAGAGAAATATTTTGGGAGCTTCACTGCCTAAAGCAGTCAAACTACCTCATTCTTTTTTTTTTTTGGTGGAACCGGGGATTGAACTCAGATCCTTGCGTTTGCCAGTCAAGCACTTATCCTACTGAGCCATCCCCTGGGCCCCCAAACTACCTCATTCTTAAAAAAAAAAAAAAAATCCTGCCTGGATACTGTGGGCTATTAGTCACTAGGCAACCTTGTGTCTTGCAACTTAGTAAAGGTACAAATAAAGGTCCTGGGCTGGTGAGATGGCTCAGTGGTCTAAAGCACCTACTTAGAACAAGCTTAGCAAAGCACAGGGACCGCGGTTCAATCCCCCAGCACCACATGCCAGCCAGCCCCGCCCCCCTGGTGGGCTGAGCTGGCCACACACACACACACACACACACACACATAAATAAATAAAATTAAACAAAAACAAATAAAGGTCCTTATTATTTTTGGCGGGGGTGGGGTGGGGTGGGGTATTATTTTTGCCAACCAGGCAGAGGAGCCAACACCTAATCCAGATCTTGTCTTTTTTGCTCATCTTTTCCTCATTCCTGCCACCATTTCTACCCCAGCACAATGATACCACTGAGCTCAACAGAGCCCACCCTAGCAAGGCTGCCTCCTGCCATGAGCAGCTCTTCCCACCCAACCCTGCCAGATCTTCACAGCTAATGCAGTGGGTACAGAGGCATACCTGAGCTGTTGCAGACAGCTGTTCAGGTTCTTAAGGGGCTCCTTGCTGACGGCAGGCGGAGGCCTCAGCAGCTCTTCGAGCAGCGAGGCTGGGACAGGGCAGTCGGGGATCTTGATGGGTGTTGCTGGGCTGGAGGGGCTGGCTTCACTCTTCGGTTCTTTCCTCTGTTTGTAAAAGTATGTTAGCTACCCCAGTCAGTACCTCCACCCTCAATTAGATGGGTGCCTGCCTGATGGGGAGCCCTGGGAGGGCACCGCCCTGGTCTTTATATCAGCACAGTCTGACCATCACAGGAGTTCAGGAAACACTGTGTAAGCTGGGTATGGCGGCACAAGCCTGCAGTCCCAGCACTTTGGTAGGCTCAGACAGGAAAAACAGAAATTTGAGTCTGGTTTAAGCAGTTTAGCAGCTTAACAAAACTCTGTACCAAAATAAAAATAATTAAAAGGAGGGAAGGCAATAGGGATGTAATTTGGTACAAAGGCCCTAGGTTTAATCTCTAGTACAAAAAAAAAAAAAAAAAAAAAAGAAAAAGAAAAAGAAGGAAAGAAGGTAGGTGGGGTGATCATAGGGTAGCAAAGCTTTATTTGTAATGCACATAAAAAGCACAAATGTCCTATGTCTGGACATTCAAAGAGGATGTGACTGGGCCCTAAAATGAAGTTCAGGCAGCTTCCCAGGCATAGTTTCTACTCTGAGCTTTCCTAAGAAATTAAGTAGTGTTCCCAATTAATAGATTCTCTTCTCTACAATAGATAGCTTTTTTCCCTTTCTTCAAGGAAACTGATCCCAGGGAACTACATTCCTAGCACTTTTTGAGATAGGGGCCTAAAGGCCAGCACCACTGCACCCAGCTAGGACATACAACTTTGACAGACAGCCAGTGTCACAAAATAACCCTGGGTCAGAGAAAGCTCTTTGCCTCTTCCCATTACTGACACTCACGTGCACTGAGTAGAAACCTGCTGCCATGCTGACACTTGAGCAGGGCTGGCAATGTAGCCTGGAGGCTGACCTGAGCCACAAGTCTACTGTGCAGGATAGTAGGGCCACTCTACAACAGCCACACTCTCTTCTGGGTTACAAAGTTAACTACAACAATAAAATGGCATTTGGATTCATTAAAGAAACAAGGCAGTAAAATAAAATGATTTGGCCTGGTGTCCAAGCAGAATCTACCACTATCATTCATTTCACACACATCTCTGTTAGCCCAGGACACACAGGCCTGAGCCCTACCTTGGCCACACCTCGGCGAAGATCCTGGTGGAGCTGCTGGTTTTGCTGAAGCAGAGTCTTCATGTTGTTTTTTAGCTCAGACACTTTCGCTTGGAGCATGAATTTATCCTTCTGAGTCACAGACAGGTCTTCCTGCACCATCTCCAGCTCACATCTGATATTCTATGGAGAGTGAATACAGATTTTTAAAAGCAAAAAGATCTGAAACATAGCTGAGACCTTAGTTCATATGTTACTTCTAGCAGAGTGACTTTTATTTTTAGGGTTTTTAAAAACTTATTTTATTTTTTTATTTTTTGGTGGAACTGTGGATTGAACTCAGGCCCTTGCACTTGCCAGGGAAGCACTTATTCTACTGAGCCATCTCCCCAGCTCCAGTTTGTTTTTTTGTAAAGGAAAGTTTTTATTGGAAAGAGAATAGTTTCTGTATTTTCCTGAATTGAGGGGCCCTGGACTTATTTTTATAGGATGAAATGTGAGAAGTCTCCATTTCAGCAGCTTCCTCTCTACCCACCAAGACTGATGGGCCCAGTAACACTCACACCCCAATATCTCCAACTCCAGAGCTATACCCAAGAAGCAGCAGCATCCATCTGGTTGCCTTCTACCACCAGTTCCAAGAACGTAACTATTCATGGGAATAAATGAGCTCCAACTGTGACTGTGGTCATTCCCTTCCACATGAGGAATCTTAGCAAGTGCTTCCACTCAAGGAAGGACTCTGACTCAAGTCGTTGCACAGAAGCTGACTGTTATGGTTTGTGTCTAGCTGTCACCTCAAATCCTCATGCAGTCATTGGGGCAGGCTTCTAGAACTTGTGATTCATTCATGATCCAATGCTGGATTATGGGTGTGAGTCCTACACCTGCCCTGAACCAGATAATCTGCACATAAATTAAGGAAGGGAAAGAGGCTTGCTAGCTGCCACAGCTGCTGATCCTCCCTCTGCTTTTTGCTATTTTCCATTGCCTTGAACAACTGCCCTCTTCCACGTACCACTCTGCCTTAGAGCCAGCCAAGTATGGACTGAAACCTCCACAAATTGTGAGCTAATAAATAAACCTTTCCTTCCTTAATTTTGGGTGTTGGGTATTTTGTCCTGCCAATGAGAGAAAAGTAAGACACTGATTCAGGGGACAGACATCTGCCACAAGTGCCACCAGAGCCCAGAAACAGACACCTGTAGCAGCTGCTGTGTTCCTTCCAGTTCTTTCCTTCCCTGCTGTTCTGATAGGTCCAACTGCTGCTTCAAGGACTGGAGCTCCCGCTCCTTCTGATCCAGTTCCCACTTGAGATTTTCCATCTGAAGGGGAAAAATTACATGAGCAAAAAAATTATAAAGTGGTGCTTGATAGGTTTTGGCCCTAGTATGAATTGTTGAAATCATTAAGGTGGTCATCTAATATGGTTGAAGCCCTTAAAACAAAAGCCCATCTCCCCAAGAACACCTCCCCCCTTCTTCTCCAACTCAGCCCAGGGTACAATTTCCTTTCTCCCTTCCTGCCGCCTCAGGGAAGACCCTCAGTCAGCTCCTCAGGTATATCTAGACATCCCCTTCAAATTCTAACCCTGGCGAAAGGCCATAAAAGCCTCAGCCTCCCTTTGTTCCAACTGAGAGAATTTCTATCTTCCCCGTTCTCTCAGTGTCCTCAAAGATAATAAAGCCCCTTTTCCTTCTTCCTGTTCCTCTGCTGCACCAGGCGCCTGAGAAAACCTATCATATTGCTGTGTTGTGACTCAGACAGATACACAGTGTGTGAGGCTCCTGGGGGCCAAAACCCCCAGTTCTGAGCCTATCGACTGAGCTCTCCTCCAGGATCTGCCTATTTTCCATTGCTAGCTTGCATGCAACACTAGTCCATCTCACATCTCACAGGAAGGTTGAACTCTCTGGCTTCTGGTTCTCTCCTTCAGGGGTTTGTTCTCTTCTCTTTGCCTCACTTTGCCTTGGGTGTATATCCTTCCCTTAGAGCACTCCCCTGCTGTCTTTGGAAATTCATGGGGCCCTGTGTCTGGAAATTTAACTGTCCCTGGTAACACCCCCAGGAATTCCCCCTTGATGACAGCTGGAAGGACCAAGGTTTGGGGACTTCACTTACACTCTTCTTAGCTTTGAGAGCTGGTGACGGCCTCTCCCTGGGCTTAAAAGTCAGTTCAGCCTTAATTTGGTCGCTCGGGAGAATTGTTCTCTCCTTGGGTGTATACCTTTCACTCTGAACATTCCCCTGCCATTGTCATGGGAAATATTCATTCTCAGCCCCCAAAAGACACTCCACGGGGATGCCTGGTCTGTAATCTCGGCTCCCTCAGTCTCTGGGAGGCCATAAAACCAAAGTGATTAATCTTCTACTGTCAGACAGCTTGGCCACAATATAAATTCAATGGTAAAACCCAGTGGCCTATGGAAAAAACTTCTGATCCACTAATTCTCCAAAGTTTAAAAAACTTGTATAGGGGCCAGGGAGATGGCTCAGTAGAAAAAACGCTTGCCTGCTAAGTGCAAGGGCCTGAGTTCAATCCCTGGTTCCAAAAAAAAATCCCAACAAAAAACAAAAAACTTGTATAACCTCACCAGCAAGTGGCAGAAAATCCCCTATATTCGGGCTTTTTTCTCTTTGAGAACACGTCCTTCACTCCCTCAACATTATAAAGGGACCCAGATACTCTTTTTTTTTTTTTTTTTTTTTAATATTTATTTTTATTTATTACATTTATTTGTGTGTGTGTGTGTGGCCAGCTCAGCCCACCAGGGGGCGGGTCTGGCTGGCATGTGGTGCTGGGGATCGAACCGCGGTCCCTGTGCTTTGCCAAGCCTGTTTCAAGTAGGTGCTTTAGACCACTGAGCCATCTCTCAGATACTCTTAACTGGCACTGTTCCACCCAAGGCCTCTCCCTCTTCTTCCTCAGATTCTCTAAAAGATGCTGTGCTGGTCTTTGCTCCCTCTAGCCTCTCCATTGCAACTCCTTGGCCTCCTCCACTGGAGTCTATAAAGCTTCCAGCCTCACCACCCCCGTCCTTTCCCCCACTGCAGCCTCTCACCCTGTTATTACTTCCTCATCCCTATCTCTCCCCAGTCACTTAAACCAAGGACAACTCTCCCGTCTAACGATCTCCCTCAGTCAGGTCAGAGCCCCTGTTCCTGCCACAGCAGCTGCCACGTGCCCCACTAAAGACTCCTACAACCCCCTCCTCCAAGTACCTGTGCTGTAGCCGCTGCTTTACCTTCTGACCTCTCAACTTGCAGCTGGTCTTACGTTCCTTGCTGCCTGACCCCCTTAACCACAGTCTCTTTTTTCTTTCAGGTTTTTTACTTTAAAACAAAGTACAATCCAATCACAGTCTTTTTTTACTCCAGACATCTCACTCCAAAAAAATAATAACACATTTTTCCCCAACAGCATGTGCCCCTCCCTCTGGTATCCATCAAGCTAGTGACAATATATCAGCCCCGAGAGAGCACACTGCCCTTTTCAGTTGAGACTGCTGCTCCCCTCCTTCTCCCCTCATCCCTCCCAACCCTTAGCCCCCTTTATAGTCTACACAGCCACAATAAACAGCACAGCTTCTCTTACTGCCAGCCTACAAGGCTGAGACTTACACATAGTCAGTGCTGCTCACTGTGCTGGGCCTAATCCTTTCGCTCTGCTCAGTGTGCTTGCTCTCACTCAAACCTGATACACTATATTAGACATAAACATATATATTAACTATAAATAAGAGGCTTTTACTTTTTTCCAAATTCTTATAAGAAATCTTTACTAATTGACCTACAACAGTTCTGACTAGTTTCTCATAATTACAAACCTAAAAAAGGTCATCATAATTTAACCCGGCCAAAAATATATTTGAGTGCACTCTTACAAAGATGTCCATGTGTCCTGCCCTTGTTTGTTTTTATGGCATCCTATAAACAGCTGTTCCTTTTTATGTGAGCTCTAAAATATAGACTTGGGGTTGGGGAGATGGCTCAGTGGAATAAGCACTTCCCTGGCAAGCGCAAGGGCCTGAGTTCAATCCCTGGTTCCGCAAAAAAAAAAAAAAAAAGACTTAAAAGCATACTTTCTCCTGAGTTACCAGCTGTTTATAATTAAATTAAAATTAGTTTATAATTAAATTAAAATTAGTTTATAATAAAATAAAAATCATTAAAATGGGGAGACATTATTAAACAGGACTCTTGATTGGTGGAAAAGGGTGGCCAACCTTTGTTCATCAATGAAGAGACCCCAATAATCTTAAAAGTCACCCCCAACAATTTGGTCATTGGTTAAAACAAAATTTTTTTCAAAAAATTAAAATAAGGTTTTCTTATAAAAGATGCTTGGTATTACATATTTCATGCCTTCTAAACATACCGATGTGAATTTTCTTTCAGATTTATTTATTTATTTATTGTGGAACTGTGGATTGAACTCAGGCCCTTGTGCTTGCCAGGCAAGCGCTTATTCTACTGAGCCATCTCCCTGGCCCTAAAATTCTAATAATTGGGGCCGTCCTGTAGCTCAGTGGACTAAAGCACCTGCTTAGGCAGAGCACAGAGCCAGGGTTTGATACCTGAAGCACTGTGCTGGTCCCGCCTGCAGGGCACACTGAGACGGTGACTGAGACTGGCATGGTGGAGTGCGCCTGTATTTGCAGCACTTGGGTGGCTGCAAAGAGGAGAATCACTATGAGTCCGATCTACATAGTGAGCCCCTGTAGACCCTGTACTAAATGCAGAAAAACCCTGCTAATCATCAAGTGTATTGCTCCAAACTAAATATACTAATGTAGATCCAGTTTCTCCTGAAAAAACAACTGTTATTATTTCCTATTTTATATCCCGATCTGCTCCTGACACTCATTCCAAGCTAAAAAAACAGATATCAGCCCTCAACCCCTAATGAAAAACTTATTTAATCTAACTTTAGCATGTATTTAATAATAGAGACCAAAAATTAACTATACACATGTCAGCTTTTGGCTGCGACACTTGAGACTCCCATCAAAGCAGGATTTTAACATGGTAATGCTGAGCCTGAACAACTCTGCCACTGAAGCCCTTCTTGGATGGTTTTACGTGCAGTGAAAAAGGACACTGGGCACAAGCCTGCCCCAACCTGCAGCCATCACTGGGACATCTACAAGCTTGAGGGTCATTGGAAATGTGACTGCCTTGTCCGCCAGAGAGTGGGTAAGTCATACAATTCCCTGCCCTCACAGGAAACTTGCTACAGCCAGACCCATATACTTGACCTGCTTGGTCTTGGTGCTGAAGAGCAACAACAGAGCTTGGGTTCCATGGCCCATGTCGAGACAACTTTGTCAGAGTCCCAAGTCTCGCTGGACATCTCAGGTAAAAAACTCTTTTCTTGCTCACATAGAGCCCACATATAGTGTTCTTCCTGAGTTCTAAAATCTTTACATTAGCTCTATAGTCTCCATAGTGGGTGCTGATGGCCGACCTACATGATCCCTTCAGAGAGGCCCATTCCTTGTTGACTTCAGACACTGTGCTTCACTCGTAATTTCCTTGTGGTCCCAACCTGTCCCCTACCTCTCATGGGGAGAGGCCTCCTCCAAAAGCTCCAATTCTCTCTCACCTCTCTCCCCCACAGTGCACATCCTACAAACCCAACCTCAATGCACAGCCAGCTCCTCCCTCCCTCTTCCCTTGTCAACCGTATACTGAGACACTTCCAGTCCCACTTGGGCCACACATGCTGTTCCTGTATTAACATGCCTCAGAGATCCCACAGTGTTTCCCTATATTCCGCAATATATAATAGCTCCCAAACATCAAGAGACTCAAGTCCATCATTTTCCACCTCACCAGCAGTTTTCTTAAAAAGGCCCACTCGCCATCTAATACCCTCATTTTTCCTGTACTCTAACCTAATGGCTCCTGTCATTTAGTTCAAGATCTCAAAATTATTAATAATGTCATTACTCCTATTCACCCAGTGGTGTCAAACCCGTACACCACACTCTCTCATATCCCTCTTTCCACTAATCACCCTACTTTCCTAGACCTTAAAGATGCCTTCTTCACCCTTCCTTTATACCCAGATTTCTAAGACCTTTTCACCTTCACATGGACTGACCCAGACACTCTTTGATCTCAACAGCTCACACAGACAGTCCTGCCTCAAGAGTTCAGCGATAGTCCTCACTTCTTCAGCCAAACCCTTGCTGCTAATCTCAAAACCCAGCCTACTCCATCAATATATTGATACTCCTCCTCTTTAACATGGTCATGATAAAAATCACACATTCTGATCATAGATTCCCCTCTTGGTTCCTTTCCTGTGTCCTTCAAACATGATGACATATACTCATAACATGCTGTCTTTTTAAACTTTTTACAAGGCTCCTTCAATCTTGGATGTGAGTCTTCACCAATGAAGAACTTCTAGGGGCTGGTGAGATGGCTCAGTGGTCTAAAGCACCTACTTAGAACAAGCTTAGCAAAGCACAGCAAAGCACAGGGACCGCAGTTCAATCCCCCAGCACCACATGCCAGCCAGCCCCGCCCCCTGGTGGGCTGAGCTGGCCACACACACACACACCCACACACCCACACACCCAAATAAATAAATAAAAAGAACTTCTAGTTCTAGCTGAGACACCTGGCACTAACTTCTACATAGGCGTGAACCACTGTACTGTCAGCTCTCCTTACCCCTGAGACAACACTCCCATTCAGCAGGAAGCAGTCTAGGAGACACATGGCCCCTTTTATAACAACCAAAAGACAGGAATGATAGATTTTGGCACTAGTATGAATTGCTAAAACTACTATGGTGGTCATCTAATATGGCTGAAGCCCTTAAAACAAAAGCCCATCTCCCCAAGAACACCTCCCCGCTTCTTCTCCAACTCAGCCCAGGGTACAATTTCCTTTCTCCCTTCCTGCCACCTCAGGGAAGACCTACAGTCAGCTCCTGAGGTATATCTAGACATCCCCTTCAAACTCCACCCTTGGCGGAAGGACATAAAAGCCTCAGCCTCCCTTTGTTCCAACTGAGAGAATTTCTATCTTTCCCATATTCTCTCTGTGCCCTCAAAGATAATAAAGCCCCTTTCCCCTTTTCCTTTTGCCTGTTTCTCTGCTGTGCCAGGCACCTGAAAAACCTATCAGTGCTCTTATGCTAGAACATAGCTGTATGCTATTTTTGCTTATCTATTTTTTTGATTGGGAATTGAACTCAGAACCTTGTGCTTGCCAAGCAGGTGCTTGTGTCACTGAACTATATCCCCATCCCTTAATCTTTTAATATTTAGCAAACATAAAGATTCCTTTTTGAGCACACAGGGCTTGGAGTCAGGGGCCCAACAGTCACCTCTTGGCTCCCTGCAGGCTGCTGGCTCAGCTGCTCATCCAGCTGCTGCTGCAGGAGCTGGAGCTGGGTGCGGGCCTCTGTCAGGTTCACCTGGAACTGTGCTATCTCCTGGGATTGTTTTCCTTCCCGAATCCTGACATTAAAAAAGGTAAGAATGAATTGACAGCGTCTTTCCTGCTTGCCCTCCATTCTGGATGTGGCCTGTGGGTTGCAGCTACTCTGGTGAGCTTGAATGTTCCCCTCAGGCTGCAGATGGTACTTATAATACTCCCTCAGGCCCTGAAAACACCTTCTGGAAGACAAGCTCTGTACCACTCAGGGTAAGTGTGAGCGCCCATTCCCAGACCAGAGTGGTTAGAGGACTCCAGGGCCATTGTGTGGATACAACACACCCCCAGGCCTGGCCATGCCCCAGTGTGTCCAAGTTGATGCTGTGCTAGTGTGCAGCAACAAGGACCTCTAAGTGCCCAGGACACAGTCCTCAGGGTGAGTGGTCATGCAGATCCCTGTCCCAGGGAGGATGAGTAAGGCAGAAGTGCACCAGGGCAATGAGGCTTCATGGGATGGGAGTTGGGTGGCCTCTCCTTTGATCAGTCACTAAAGCAGTTTGGTAAAAGTTGCCAAGTGCTGAGTGAATCACAGGCAGGAGACCATGGCAGCCTGGCCACTAGCAGGTCCCTTCACCAGGCAGATGGCCACCCAGAGGCCTGTCACTCACTGCAGCTCAGCAGCCTCAGTCTGCAGAGTCTGTACCAGGTGCTCCTTGGCCTGCAGCTCTTTCTTCACCTCGCTGAGCTCCAGGGTGGCTGCCTTGAAGTGGCGGCGGTTATGGCCTGCTTCCACCTTGACAGCAGTCACCTATAAAGGAGGAGGAAGTTGGTATTACCCATACAAGGTGCTCTGAGGGGCCCCTGAGGCTTTATGGGTACCAAACACTCCACACAAGTTCCCCAAAGGCCTGAGGGTGCCTAATACAATGCCCAGTATGCCACAAGCAAACAGGATGTAGTTGCTAGTGTCCACTTGATGAGTGCATTAATTAATGATTGTCAAATACTTCCATCTTTCCAGTTAACTTTGTTTATTCTTGAGCAATTTACTTTTCCATCATACTAGTTACCTTTAATAAACCTATTATCGTGTAAGTAGGCTCCTTTCTGAAGTTTTAATGCTTTTCTGAGATAACACAAATTTTTGTCAAGTTTTCCAAGGGGAAAGCTAATTCTCAATAGTATTCAAAACATTTAGGTGATGGATGGTTAACAACCTAAGTTTGCAGACCAAAATTAGAGAAAAAGGAGGGATACAAGGAAAGCCAACATTTTGGCCCTAGCCTTCTAAGGTC